AAAAAAAAAAAGATCAGAAGATTTTGAGGGATCTTTTAGAATGTCCTTTAAGAAATGCCTATTGTATCTCTTGAGTTGTATACATCTTGATTTTCTTTTGATTTTAATTTTTAATTATTTTGTTTATTATTACTTTCTGAAGATCTTTGTCCTTATTATTGAGTACTTGTTGGTTTTTAATCTATCTTTTTTAAGACATTCACCTGTTATTGATTTCATAATGTATACATAGTGTATTATTATTATTGTTTGCTATTATTATTATTATGATATTATTATTATTATTACAATTGTTGTTGTTATTTAAAAGGCAAATGTTAAATGCATTTAGTGATTCACAATTTTTAATCCAAATTATGTTTTGCTAGCTTCAGTGTTTAAATAATTATTCCTAAAAATTGAAAGATTTGGGACATAGTCAGTGATGACATATTTGCCCATGACCATTTTGTGCAAAGTCACATTTGCATTAGATTTCATGTTTGCCCTGATGAATCATCAACATTTAAAGTAAAACTATTTCTTGGTTATGAAATAATGCATCAGGACTCTGACCATGTGTTTATGATAAAGACTGTTAGAGCATAAATTATTTGGTCAGAAAACTTGGTTGGTCGAGTGTGACAGGGCATCTAACCATTAGTAATTTTAATTGATCAAAAAGTTATAAATGTGGTACAGGTTTTTAGTTTATTATATTGATCAAAGAGTATACTGCCAAAACATAGCCCAATTTTATTCTGACTAAAAAGATGGATAACAAATGCTAACTTGGAAGTTTTAGGTTCTAAAAGCAGCTCAAATCTCTGATCTTTTACATTTACAAATTTTACCTACCCCTTTTTTACCAGATAAGGTCATGGCAAAATGTAAGATTATTCTAATAAAGTAGGTTTTAGATACAAATTGGTTTCAAGTTCCTACAGTTATTACCGATTTTAAGTTATCGGTTGTTTTCTTGTTTCCTCCCCAATTCCATGTCTGTTGTTATTTGGGGAAGGGAGGCACATTTTCACTATTTAGACCAAGTAAAAATAGTAATTCACTATCTCTCACACAGTCTATGCACCCACTTGTTGATCAGATTCAGGGCTGAGTGTTCTACCTGCATAGGTGCTTTAAATTTGTCAGGTTTTGCTGGGTGCCTAGCTATGATCAGGCAGATTCTCTAAGATGCTCTGCCGCTATGTCCACATCACACACCTATTTCGCACCTATTCCAGCCACAGAGTATTACCCCACTTTAAGACCTTCCTTTAGGCCTGCTGGCATCTTTCTAATCAAGTCTTCTCACCAATAAATAGCACACTAAAACTCAATCTCCTCTTGGTCAGCCCATTTCATGCCACACCCGCCATACGCACATTCTGATCCAGCCTTATGTTCCCTATCTAATGTTCCCCTTTCAGTTCCACACAGTCTGTTGTCCTTTCAACACTTTACTGCAGCCTGTTCCTCTGCTTTCCCTCTTCCATCCTCCTTGCTCGACTCTCAACAATTAGGCGTCCTTATGGGAATCCCACACTTTCTCTTTAACAACTACTTCGGGAATCACTCTGGAGATCCTGAGACTGAGAGGAATTCCAACAAGGATTATTGGACTAATAGCAAGCTGTATACTGGTACTGAAAGTGCTGTAAAGTGTGGGGGGGCCTGTCGAGCTTCTTTCCTGTTAGTTCAGGAGTGAGGCAAGGCTGTGTCCTTGCACCAACTTTTTCAACACTTGCATGGACTGGATACTGGGCAGAGCTACTGTTCAAAGTCATTGTGGAGCAACACTGGGCAATATCAAGGTTACAGACCTTGACTTTGCTGATGATGTTGCCATTCTATCTGAGTCTTTGGAAACCCTAGTGGTGGCTCTCGATGCATTTAGCAATGAAGCGAAGCCCTTGGGTCTAGAGGTCTCCTGGACCAAGACCAAGGTCCAGGAATTTGGGGACTTGTAGGAGAACCTGTTCAGTCGGTACGTGCTTGCGGCGAGGACATTGAAGTCACAGAGAGCTTTACATACCTTGGTAGTGTAGTTCATAACTCTGGGCTGTCAGACCATGAAGTCAGCAGACGGATTGGCCTGGCAGCAGGGGTCATGAACTCTCTCAACAAGAGTATTTGGAGATGCGGTACCTGTGCAGAAGGACCAAGCTACGGGTTTTCAAGGCCCTGATAATGCCAGTTTTGCTATACGGTAGCGAAACCTGGACATTGTGTGCCTTGGAGTCTCGTCTTGAAGCCTTTTGTAATAGGTCCTTGCGCCGGATCATGGGGTACTGTTGGCGGGACCATGTGTCCAACCAACGGTTGCACCGTGAGACTGGCACAGGACCTGTTACTGCACAATCCGGGATCGCCAACTCAGGCTATACGGCCACCTGGCTCGCTTTCCCCAGGATCCTGCCCACAGGTTGTCTCTGTACGAGACAGCCGTGGGTGGAGGAGGCCTAGGAGGTCGTGGCTTGGGCAGATCGATCAAACCTGTCGTGAGAGCTCGAGATGGGCCGAGTCCCTGCCTGGCGGCTTGCCATGAGGGATCCCAAAGGGTGGATGCGGCCATGCGCCCCCGTCGGCGTTAGCCCCCAGATGATGATGAAAGTTCCCTGACTACAAGATCGGGGCTGGGAGCGGTTCTCAGGGAAGCTAGACAGGAAGAATGCAGACGAGGTTTTTCTCTCGCTACCTATTCTAAAATCTCCCCCGTTATCTTCCCCCTAGCCTTTACTATCCTGCTTATACCCTCTCTCTCAAATTCTTTTACAATTCTCAATCCATATACTCTAATCACTACCATTTCCCTGTTGTCAAACCCTTACTTTTCAAGTCGCGCCAGGCAATCTCTCCTACACCAACCATTTCCTCTGCTCCGGACACATGTCTCCTCTTCTCATCATACGAAAACCTTCGTTTCTCAGACCTCCCCACCCCCTCCCCTCAGAAACATATTAAGGGCATTCAAAACTTCCTAAAAATGCCATATAAGAAAACTCATTCTCCCTCATTCACCTGCAATCCCTCTACTCTCTTGATCCATCCTCCCACTCTCCCCCGATCCCCCACGCTCTCCCGACCCCCTACCCATCTCCCTCTGCCCCATTTCCCCTTTTTCCTTTTTTTCTCCTTTCCTCTCCCTCCTGGATGCTCTTGTGCTTCTTTTTGTCACGTGTCCTCCACGGATCCTTCCTCATCTAACGTTCTTCCTAATCCTCCTCCTCCCGCTGGTCCTTCGTTTCATTCCTCGGGTTCTTCCCCTACTTCGACACGCATATCTACCTTTATTGCCTGTAGATTGTTCCATAACGGTTCTTTTGCCATTGTTCCTCGTGTAATGTTCCTCTTTCAGTCCGATATACTGTTTTCTTATTCCGGCTCTACTGCAGACTAAACCGCTGCTTTTCCTCCCTTGTCCTCTCTTCCCCGACCTCCCATGCTGTTGGACATCATCACGGAATCCACGACTTTTAACTCTTGACAGCTTGTTCTCCTTCCTCAGACGCAAAGATACCCTGCATTTTCCCTCTTTACCCTTTTCACGACCATAATATCCTAAAGTTGTATATGGCCTTTGACATCTAACACATTTTGTTTTAATCCTGAACCCAGTTTACCCCCTTTCGCCACAATACTTTACTATGGTGCTTTGTGACTTTGATGCCCAGGACATTTATTTGTTTTAACCAGTAACTCTTAACAATTTAATGTTTTAATGTTAAATGCTTAGATAGGTATATTTATGAGGAAAATGCGACCTTTAGTCATAGGATGAAGGTTAATAGTAAAGAAAAGATAATACACAAACAAACGGACACATGTGCAAAGATATTTGTTATGATTGAGACAAGGTCACACATGTGAAAGCACATGTCCTGACACACGCCCCGACTCCCCACTTGAACTTTACATTTCTGCGTAAAGACTGACCTTGGCCTTCA